TCAAATTTGGCAGTGGCGGGGCCACAAATGGTCCTGCCATCCTACCCAGCTTTACCTCCGCCAGCAATTTGTCCCGCACCACCCCTGGATGTTCCCGTGCGGATCGCAGGTTCGCACATAAAGCCCCTGGTCCCCTCCCCTTAAATGGAATAGTAAACCCCTCTGTAAACCCCCTCCTCAAAAACTCTGCGTCCGCTCGGTTAGCGTAACGCCTTAGCCACGGCAGCATCACGCCTACCTTCACTGGGGTTGCTCCCAGCGGTAGCTGCGGAGGCCGCTGCGTTGCTGGGACCTCCTCCTGAAGCCGGCTTCCCTCTCTTGAAACACCTGTTAGCCCCATGTGTACCCCCGCAGCCAGAGCACTCGTGTTTGAATCTGCACGATGTACCCCACTTGCATTGACCCTCGTTGAAGAGCCAGCAAAAACCCTTCTTTTGTCCGGCCGGTGCCGATCCTCTGGGTACCGCACCGGCCGCCCCGTGAAAGGGCGCAGCCTTCTGCGCCATCATCAGTCTCATCCATAAGGGTAGGTCCATTTGATCCCACCGCATACTAGGATTCGCCACTAAATGCTGGCGGAACTGCTCATCGTATTTCCACCATGCTACTCCCCCGTATGTTCGGTACGCGTCCCCAATCCCGTCCAGATAACAAAAAAGTTGTGAGCAGCGGTCGGGGAATTTTTCCCCGATAACACTGGCCAATATGCAAAAGGCCCGTAGCCAGTTCGCAAATGTTTTAGGGATCTTCCTATATCTACGCCTTTTCTCTTCCTCCTCCTTCTTTGCGTCCTTCTTGTCCTCTTCTTTCAAGTCAAGAAACTCCTCCAGAGGAAGAAGGGCAAAAACTTCCACAAACTCACCTTTCCAAATCTTGTCCTTCAACTCGGCCCTAAGATGACAGCCTAAGGGGCCCGCGAAAGAAACGTGAACATTTTGCCGCGCTGCGTCGGTAATCTCGCCGCCTACGTCCGTCTTGTCGCCCGTCCCCCCTACCGACCCAGATGCGGCTACCCTGGTGTCATCACTCCCCGTGCTAGCCTGTCCCGCGGACGCCACCGGACCCCACACCCTCGAGAATTGCGGAGAAGCCCCCTCCCTACTGGCCCAAGAATCTAAGAACGACTTTAAACCGCTTAACCATGAATCTGTGTGTGGTGTACCAGATGACTCACCGCCAGAGCCCCCGGCCGCGGAGGGCCGCGGGGTCGCTATCCTTCCATCTGCCGCGCACGGCTCCGGAGTGTTCAAGAGACGCCGACTCCTTTCTGCCTGGTCCCGCCTCGGGACCGTTGGTGTAATGCTCCGCGACCTGTAAGGAGAAGAACACCTGGGTAGTCTGTTCATGGGTCTCCCTACCCGCCCTTCCTCCCTACGCTCCCTTCCAGCGTTCCTACGCTTGCCCCGCTTAGTTGCCTGGCCCTCATGGCCGCAATTGCTATCCCGCTGTCCTTGGGAGCTCTCGACTGAGGACCCAGAAGCGCTGCGCCGTTCCGTCCTCCCCCTGCCCCTGTAGGCCGACCCCGGCCTACTGCAACTATCAGCTGACAGGCTCCTCTCCCTGGCGCTCCATGTTCCCTCCTGCCTGGCGCTTTCCTCGCGCCGTTCCCTGCTGACTCCAGGTCTGGGGTTGTGTATAACTCCTGGGCGCCCCTGGGAGGTGCATCTGCGGTCCCCCCGTATCCTCCGAACCCCAGCGTCCGAATCCGCATCAGACCATTGAGAAAGGACCCCTTGTGACGCCAACCCGTCAGTAAGGGGGTCCCTGCGCTGACCCAGGCAGCCAGAATCCCCTGTTGCTGCTGTCTTGGCCTGCCTCTGACGTCCTAGCTGGGAAACCCGGTCGGCTGTCCCCCTGCTGTCATGCCTGGCACCAACCCTGGCCGTACCCCCTGAGCCCTTACTGGTATGAGCCCCCTCTGCCCCCAGGGGAGCTGTCAGCCCGTCTCCCACCTCCAACTGCCTGCCCCTTTGCCGCCCGGGAGTAACACCGGAGGCAGACTCACCGGGACGCCCTTGGGCTGTGTCATCCCCTCCACTGGCCTCTGCACACATGGCTGTCCTGGAGGCCGCCGCCGCTCCTGGGACCCTGCCGTTCGCCGTCCGCCGGGCGGCGCTCCGCGTGGTAGGCCGCAGAGCCGTCACCGGCCTAACCGCCGTCCGTGCCCGACCGGCACCGCGTCGAACAGACGGTGCCGGCGGCGTTTTTTCTGCCTCCTCCCGGCCGGCCCCCACAGCCAGGGACCCACCCGCGTCCGCGGACGGGCTCAGACGCCACCGTGCTGCAGGCATCACGCCCGGACTCAGCCGCTGGGGCGGTCTCGCCCTCCTCACCGACCGCCGTTCCGCAGCCGCAGGGGGTGCATCACTGGTCCCAGGAACCCCCAGCTGCTGTTGAAGCCAGGCCATCCCCCTGTCACGCACAGCCGCTCTCACTCCGTCCAGGATCTCGTCCAGCGAAGCCATCTGCAAAATAAAGAACAAGAAACCACACAGACCTGCCAAAACAATTAACAGGTAAGTGCAGATTCTGGTTAAAATGGCCACTTGCTAAAATGGCCGCTTAATATACTCCCTCTATTCTCCACCCCTTATTACAATCCATTCCTATATTCCCACCCCTAAAATTATAACTCCACCTGCCTACTCCTTGGCTCTGTCAAGGCCCATTCCCCTGACTGCGCTGATCCATGGGCTTCATTTTGGATGTGTACAGAATTTGTTATAAGATCTGTGTTCTCCCCATTAAAATTGGGTGTAGTATTCTGCCATACACTTGTGTGAATGAGTACTGCCCTCCGAGCTCGTATTTCTGCTGTGTCCATTCCTTGTCTTCATACCTGAGAGAAAACATTGCTGTCTGCTGAATTTAAATCACAACAATATGGTGTCAGAAGTGGAGAGAGAATCCAAATCGGGTAAGAACATTTTGTGTTTTATATTTGTGTTCTTTGCCCTGTTTGGATTCTCTGAACAAATTTTTGTGGTTGCAGAAAAGTAATGTTTTTTTTGTTTTTGTTTTGCCTTTCTTTTTGTTTTTGTGATAAGTATGGGTTAGAGTCCCATGATAAGTATGGGTTAGAGTCCCATGATAAGTATGGGTTAGAGTCCCATGATAAGTTTGGGTTAGAGTCCCATGTTATGTTTGGGTTAGAGTCCCATGATAAGTATGGGTTAGAGTCCCATGTTATGTTTGGGTTAGAGTCCCATGTTATGTTTGGGTTAGAGTCCCATATTAAGTTTGGGTTAGAGTCCCATGTTATGTTTGGGTTAGAGTCCCATGTTATGTTTGGGTTAGAGTCCCATGTTATGTTTGGGTTAGAGTCCCATGATAAGTATGGGTTAGAGTCCCATGATAAGTTTGGGTTAGAGTCCCATGTTATGTTTGGGTTAGAGTCCCATGTTAAGTTTGGGTTAGAGTCCCATGTTAAGTTTGGGTTAGAGTCCCATGTTAAGTTTGGGTTAGAGTCCCATGTTATGTTTGGGTTAGAGTCCCATGATAAGTATGGGTTAGAGTCCCATGTTATGTTTGGGTTAGAGTCCCATGTTAAGTTTGGGTTAGAGTCCCATGTTAAGTTTGGGTTAGAGTCCCATGTTAAGTTTGGGTTAGAGTCCCATGTTAAGTATGGGTTAGAGTCCCATGTTAAGTTTGGGTTAGAGTCCCATGTTAAGTTTGGGTTAGAGTCCCATGATAAGTTTGGGTTAGAGTCCCATGTTAAGTTTGGGTTAGAGTCCCATGTTAAGTTTGGGTTAGAGTCCCATGGGGGTTAGAGTCCCATATTAAGTTTGGGTTAGAGTCCCATGTTAAGTTTGGGTTAGAGTCCCATGTTAAGTTTGGGTTAGAGTCCCATGTTAAGTTGTATAAGAGAAACATTTATATTTTCTGGGTTAGAGTCCCATCTTGTCGGTAAGTTGTATATAGTGGGTATAGCAGTCCCACTGAGTGACCACATTTAGTCACTGTATTGAATGCACAGTTTGGACACAGTAGAATAAATCTTATTTTTGTTTATTGCAGCGCTGCATGTATAGTTGTATTGTTTAAAAAAAAAGCGTGCATTGCTTATATATAAAGTGTTATATATTGTAAAGTGTTATCTGTGTGAAGTTGGAAATGGGCTCCAGTAAGGGTAAAAAAAAAAAAAAATCCCAAGAAAAATCTGTAAAATTTAAATCATCTAAGGATGTCCCTAATAGTGATGTGTCACGTACTCCCCAAGTCAAGTCTCAGGGTCCTCGATTAGGCCAAACTCCATGCCATTTTGTTCAAGAAACTATTGGAGATTACTATGCTGAGCCATTTTGTACAAATTTAGTTGTATGGTCAGAGAATTTTGATACAATGATTTGTAATCCTTGGCCAAGAGAGGGTTCTTTTAGTGATTTTCATTTGCAAATGCTGCAAGGTATTTGTATTAAAGGTTTTAAAAAGTGGGGTCCAGGTGGAGATCCAAAATGGGATAAAAAGTATATGCATAATGCAGCTACAGGATGGTTAAAGTGTGCTCAGTTATGGTTTGTTCCTGATCAGACTACAAAGTATGTTCAGGCCTCTGCAGCACCTCCTGCTTATGTGCTTTTGTTGTACCATTATATCCCAGTTTGGATTAATTAAAAAAGATTTTTCGGAATATTGATACTGATGAAATTTTTATGGCGATTGGTAGAGGGAAAAGGCATGTTGGATAGATGGTTGTGAATCCTTCTGCAATGGTGAGATCCACTGCAGAAAATGTTGATGTTGGTATGAAAAAATGAGAAAGTGACTAGAAAGTCTGTGGATGTTGGTGCAGGGAATAAGCATGTTGATAGTGTTTTAGTGGTGGATGAGGGTTATAAGAGTCATGGTGTACTAGTTCCCAGTCATGTGTCTGCTTCTGCCTATCCTTTTGTAGTTGCTGGTGAGACTGTTAAAATTAAGCCTCCCTATGGATCACATTTGGTGTCTCTTAGGACTCAGTGTCCTGATCCATTTAAGCTTCCAGAAGGGGCTATTAATTATTTAAAAAGAGTAACAATGGATCAACAGTTTGGAGGGGCAGATTTTTGTTTTTTTATTGTCTGTTGTTTTTAAATATGCTGATATTTCACCAACAGAAATGGCTCTTAATTTGGACACCAAATATGATAGACCTGGTACTGATGTAGGTTGGTTCTGTGTATTTTGGGCTGAGCAAGATTTTGTGTCAGAGTTTTGAAATCAGTTATTGGTTTATTTTCCTTTGTGGTTTTGCAGTTGTACAAATACCTAATAGTGTAATAGCTGCAGGTTCTTAACCTTTTGTCTCAGCGCAGGCGGAGTTGATTGCTCTTACACAAGCCTGTATTGCTTTTAAAGATCAAGATGTGACTATTTATACTGATTTGAGATATGCCTTTGGAGTGGTTCATGATTTTGGTGTCATTTGGCAGGCTAGAGGCTTTGTTGCAGCTGATGGTCGAACTGTTTCTCATTTTGCATTAATTGATGGATTATTGAGGGCCGTACTGTTGCCTAGATCTTTAGCTATTGTGAAGTGCAAGGGCCATGATACAGATCACTCCATGGTCAGAGATGGTAATGATTTTGCAGATTTGGTGGCGAAAAGGGCAGCTGCCTCTTTTCCTTTATGGGCAGATTACAGTACTGTTTCTTTTGACCATGTCTTAACTGCATATAGCCACTCATACTGATGATACTGATGATACTGATATTCTTTCTATGCAGGCTGCATCATCTTCGGATGACTTAGCTTACTAGAGTATACATTCTGTTACACCTGATGCAAGTTCTGGTATCCTCAAGGATCCTAATGGTTGTATAGCAATCCCTCAAACTTTTTCTGTGTTACTCGTCCAACAGTTCCATGGCTATGGACATGTCGGACGAAGAGGGGTATTGGCTATGCTAAATGAACTATTTGTTATTAACAGGTTAGATCAGACAGTTACCAATATTTTTATCCAGGTGCTTAACATGTGCCAGAGTTAATACTACCAAACCACAGTTACCTCCAGTAGAAGGCCCAATGTTAATTTTACAAACTGACTTCATGCATATGACAACAGCAAAAAGGTGGACTTAAGTATTTACTTGTATTGGCTGCCCATTTATGATTAATAGTGATAAAGAAACTCCTTTCGCTTCAGCAGTTACACAGCAGGTTTGTAAAATGTTGAGTATAGATTGGAAATTTCATATGCCCTATCACCCTCAGTCATCAGGGCAAGTAAAAAAGATGAATAGAATGATCAAGGAGAAATTGACAAAAGGAGGCTTGGGTAGCACACGCAATTGGCCAGACAATTTGCCAGCAGTTTTAGCTGAGATCAGAATGACCCGTAGTTCCACTACGGGTTATTCACCATTTGAAATTTTAATGGGGAGACCTTTTCCAACTACATGATGTAAGTCCAAAAGTGCTCCGATGGTGAGCGGAGACCTAAATGTTGTGTTATATGTATTGAACCTTGTAGACAAAATGAATGGCATCTATGGTGAATGGCATCTTCCTCATCCTTCAGGTACAACCACACATCCTTTCAGGCCTGGAGACAAAGTCTTGGTGAAATCCCTCTTCAAATCCGGAACCTTTGATCCACCATACAGCCCTCTGACAACCGTTGTTGCCATCACCAGAAGAGCCGTTCTGACCGAGGAGAACCAGATGTAGATTCATGCAAGCAGATAAAAAAGATGTCCCACATCAAGCACTCTGGATATTCCAAGCAAAGAACGATCAACCTCAGACTGATCCAGAATGAACAATAGTGCTCGGTGCAACCTAATTATTCTTCTTTCCATGGGACTTGGTTATGCGCTGATTAATTTTATTTGATCCCAAAGAACAGTGATAGTAAAATTTGTTATTAATATATTTCACTCTAAGCAGGCTTTATCTTCTTCATCATGGGAAACAGACAATCATTTTATTGGATCTGTAAAGAATTTATACCAAGCCCTAAATTTAAATAATTGTTTAATAAACCTTAATTCGTCCAGGAGGGAGGGACAGTCTTATTATAGCCATGGCTCCCCGGAGATTTTCTTCAGAAATAACGGTTCTGAAGTTTTTTTTCTTCCCTGAGTGCTATAATAGACAATCAATTAATTTACTGATATGTTATTCTTTCAGAATAAAAGATTGGAATGATATGGCTTAATGAGCACCTTTCCCCTTATATCCTGTGTCACACTACACAGTAGATTTAGTAATGTCAGGATGCTCTATTATAACAGCTGGCCTTTGATCCTGATTTGTATCCTCTTCTTGTTTCCCCCCCTGCACTGCATATCCTGATAACACCTTGTTGGGAAGTGTTTGTTTAATCAAGTAACACCTTTTGACCAGCTAATGCCAAATGTGCTTTAAGTTCTTTTAATATGCAATTGACAGGACATGACTGTATTATGTGAAGACAACCCCTTTTTGGATGTGTACAGAATTTGTTATAAGATCTGTGTTCTCCCCATTAAAATTGGGTGTAGTATTCTGCCATACACTTGTGTGAATGAGTACTGCCCTCCGAGCTCGTATTTCTGCTGTGTCCATTCCTTGTCTTCATACCTGAGAGAAAACATTGCTGTCTGCTGAATTTAAACCACAACACAGCCCAATGTGTGTTTTTAAGAACTAGCAGTATTCTCAATCCTGGGAGTCGGGCACCTCTAACACTTATTTTGTTCTGCACGCATAACCCGATTGGTTTCCTATTGGCCCAAGGACCAGGTAAGTATTGTTACAGTTATTTATTATTGGTTTTGCAGTGCAGGACTTTTTTTGCTTGTTCCTATTCTGTTAAATATTTTGTGAATTGAAACACAGCTTGCCCTTACTGTAGATCATTTGGTTCACAAAATAATTTTCTGGAGCAGCTCCATATTATAAATATGTGCTTTTGTCATGCCAAAATGTAACCTTTATTACTCCATAACGTTTTCTATGCAGTTCCTTTACCGTCTAGCTCTGAACGTTTGTTCTACCTGTTAGTTCTGTATAAATCATCAAAATTAGCACACAACAATCAATATGGATAATTACTGCTTTAGCTGCCAGAGATACTAGTATGAGTGTCATGCTATCACTAAGCGCAAATAATATGTACATTAAAACCTGCAAATCCCCAGTAACTTTGAATGTATTGTCTGATTTCACCTTCAGATTTCATGTTTTGAAGAAATGCACACCTAAAACCAAGAAAGCACATTTTTTAGACATCAACGCAGCATCAGATAAATACCTAGAAGCTAACGTTATTACTTACCTGTTTGTTAGGTTATTTGTGTTTTAATAGTCCTGCTGGACCTTTATTCAGTTCTATTAAGTGATAAACTTTAAAGGGGCATTGTAACTGCTTCATCTCGTTGAAAAAAAAATAAAAAAATTCTCCAAATCAGCTATTTTTCCAAATCCAACCATACTACTGTGAGAACAGTCAGGAATTTAACATGAATTTCAAATGTTAGGCCAGAATAGCCAAACTGACATTTTTTTTAAATTCACTATGATTTTACTTGGAATTCCCGACAATTTCCATTTAGGTGAATAACTCTGTTTGGCTTATATTAGCAATAGAAAAAAGGGGATATGCAACGTTGCCACATGATGACAGGAGGAGTTGGGCTGTAAAAGAGATAAGAGCGGCAAGAGCATTTGCACAGTGCTCAAAGTCAGCTTCAAAAGGTTACCCCAAGCATCATAACCATACAGCCTGCAGATTTAGAATTCAGAGACACGCCATGTAAAGTAGAGGCAAGTAGCTAAATATAAGAAGTCTTAGGGGGATATAACCCAAAAGAGACTATAAACAAAAAAAAACAACAGCAACAAACACAAAGAATAGGTACAATAATAACACAAGCTTAATCTAATAAAAGTTATTCTCACTTCAGTAATTTGAAACACCAGGAAAATTTGCTACACTCGCACTGTCCTCACGTACACACTTTGGTATTGTTTTTAATTTTTATTTTCTTTGTTTAACGTTGTATATTTGATCCAGGACTCGAATTACTTGTTTTCACTGAAATGTAATCTCATTTAACTATATTTTATAGTATGTTTAAATCAAAGGCAAAATATGTCTTATTAAAATATTTTCTAGGCAGTTTATATACATACAGTATAAACTGCAGAAATACTAACTGTACAGCAGTTCTGTCATTGGGGATAATACGATGTAGAAAGTGAATACGAACAAGATCTATTATTCAAAATTCATTGGTCACATGAAAGAAGAAAGCATACGAGACAAAAAAAAAAGAAAAATAGAACATACCAAACATGAATAAAGTACACATGCAAGTATAGTGTTGATATATATATATATATATATATATATATATATAAAACAATGCTTTCTGCTGCCAACACAGTTTAATGGAATCAATATTAATAAAGTTGATGCATCTACTACAGGAAGGTCTATTAAACTTATAAGAAAAAGAAACAACTAACTAACTAAATAAATAAATATTCACTAATGAGAAGATCACATCCAAGGGAATACAGAACAGGTGATGTCTAATCAAGTTGGGAAATATCTTCCCTGGAGAATTATATTAAAAAAGATATGATCCCATGCGGACTAAGGGTACGGAATGTACCAGCATCATATACTGAGAATATTGAATTGACTAATGAATGGGAATCTGCGGCTGGTGCCTGTTCAAAACGCTTTATGGAGATTCTAATCAAATTTGAAAAAAGCGAAATCATTAGAGCACAATTCCAACTTAGAGAAGGAAATTGAAAAAGTACAACAATACCAAACTAAATCAGATTTTGGACAACTCGAGACTAGACTCAAAAATAACTTGGATAAATTCCAACATTCCATAAAAATACGTAAACATCAAAAGTTTGTGAAGGACTCTAAAGATTACCAGACAAATAACGTATATTGACATTTCTCTCGTAGAGTCAGAACTAACTCAGAAAACCATCTTACCTCTGATTATGAATCTTCAGATACGGATAATGATGAAACAGGCAGACAGCATAATCTCCCCTCCACCTCTCAGTTACATACTCATACTCCACTAACATTGAGTAATCCCAAAGGGATCCTAAAAACGGGGGTCAATTTTTTAGAACTGAACCCCCAAGAGGGGGTCCAAACAGGAGCAGGTACATTATGCAAACCAGAGGTGGAAACAGAAGAGGTGGTCAACGAGGGGGGAGGAGAAGATTCTAAATTCTAGAGAAAATATAAAAACAAATTTAAGAGTTATCAATCTCTCACATGTCACTTTGAATGATGACCATTTATCTCTATTGGAAAAGGGCTTATCTTTTGTGCCTATACCTCCTTTTAACAAATTCCATTGGGTCAAAGACCTCCGTTTGTTTGCACGGAAATTGGCACTCCATAAATACCATCAGATAATGAAAGAGAAAAAAGCAAGGTCACATGGAATGTCAATGACGGAATACAAGTGCTTAATGACCCTAATGGAACTTTGGGAAGAGAATCACAAAGCTAACCTTTATAACTATACCAATATTAAACAGAAAAGTTCTTTAACCCCCTACCTTGCCAACTATAGGAATATTGATCTCTTTTTAGAGACCATGAAAAATGAAATTGATAGAATAGATATTCGATCGTTGGATTTCTTTCCCAACATGAATCTTTCTAAAAAGGAACAAATAGCTCTAAGATGTCTCAGAGACGACAAAGAGCTAATCATAAAGCCGGCAGACAAGGGGGGCAATATCGTGGTTATGAACCTAAATAAATACATCGACAAGGTCTTGAAGTCTGATCCCACGAATGATTTCCTTGGTGAATTTAAGGACATTTTGGACCAAGGCCGCAGTGAAGGGTTGCTATCGGTGGACGAATTAGAATTCATCCTGAATCATCACCCTAGGATAGCAACCTTTTACTGCCTACCAAAAGTCCATAAGAATCTCGAAACCCCTCCGGGACGTCCAATCGTATCAGGAATGGAAAATCTGACTCAAAATGGGAGCATTTATATGGATCGGATTTTAAGACCCTTCGTGGAGAGACTTCCATCCTACCTTAAGGACACAAAGGAGACTTTGGCTCTCTTATCAAATCTGAAGTTACCCCCATCAGCTAAATTGTGTAGTCTAGACATCGAGGCTCTTTATTCCTCTATCCCCCATGATAATGGGATTAGACATACTGAATACTTTTTAGCACAGAGAGGCGAGTCTTTCAACCATCACACCAACTTTTGTGTGAAACTCCTTGAATTTATTTTGACGCATAATTATTTTATCTTTAAAAATAAATTTTACCACCAGGTGAGGGGGACAGCGATGGGGACAGCATGTGCCCCATCATATGCCAACCTTCACCTAGGGTGGTGGGAGGAGAACATCATCAAATCTGAAACCATCTCAGAGTACCTCCCATTTATCTTCTTATGGCGTCGCTATATTGACGATGTCCTGCTGATATGGTTGGGTAACGAAGAAGACTTTAGTGCGTTCGTAGGGATCCTCAACTTGAATGAAGAAAATTTGAGATTCACAAGTGAATTTGGGGGCACAAGCATTAACTTTCTGGATATAACAATTACTATTACCGATCAAAACACTACTTTATATAAAAAAACAATCTGCTTCTAATAACCTTCTCAGGTGGGACAGTTTCCATCCTCAATCTTTAAGACAAGGCATTCCGGTAGGTCAATGCCTCCGAGTCAGGTGAAAATGCAGTTCAATTGAAGAATTTAAAATTAAAGAGAAGGATTTGAAAATATACTTTAGGGGAAAAGGGTACCCCAATAAGTGTCTGAAACGGGCTTATAAAAGAGCCTTAGAATCAGATCGAAGTACACTTATTGCAGACACTTCCCCGACCAAGGCATCAAAAGATTCAAACATCATTCGACTTATAGCCACCTATGCTGCCGGTTAGGACAGGGTAAAAGACTCCCTTCAATGCTTTTGGCCCATACTCACTGGTGATGAACATCTAAAAGAAAGACTGACCCCTAATGCAGCTATTACAGCATGCAGAGGGAGAAATTTGCGGGACATTTTGTCCCTTAGTCATCTACAGCTGAGACAACCCACTACATGGCTGCAGAGCCCTGTAATGGGTAGCTTTGCATGTGGGAGATGAACCACTTGTAAATTTATTAAGAAAGACTCTAAAAAAGTGAAAGACAGTGATGACAGTGAAGAATTCACGATCTCTTCATTTTTTAATTGTAATACACCTGGCCTTGTATACTTACTTACCTGTCAATGTAAGTTAAAATATGTTGGTAAGACATTCAGACCATTTCTGAAACGTATCCAGGAGCATGTACGATCCCCCAAGAACCCACTGGATAATACTATCTCTAGGCACCTTAGAGAATATCATAATGGAGAATCCAATGGGTTACGTTTGGGTGGACTTGAACTAGTGAAAAAAAGTCGCAAGAGAGGGAATTATGACAAATTTTTGAGACAACGAGAATCCTTTTGGATATATAGATTAAAAACTTTGAGCCCAAAGGGTCTCAACGAAGGTTTCTCGTTTTCCCCTTTCTTATGAATAATGATCCGGCTATATTGATATTTCATACAATTATGGCTGGGTTAGATGATTGATTTGATTTGTAAAAATTCTGTTTTAGTACTTTTTAAGTGCTTTGGTAATTTAAAAATGGAACAGTATTCTGTTCCTATCTATAATAATATACTACTGGCTGAGCTCACATTAGAACTCTTAAGGGCTATATATATTATTTTTCGTCCCACTAAGATCAGAGTTACTTTACTATCTCTTCTCTAGATCTCGAGTTATTATGCTCTAGAAAGAACCTGAACATCACTTTTTTTGTGAATGTAATGTCCATCTTCTTTGGAATTGAGAGCATGGATATAATCTAGAATATGTATATATATAGAAAGATGTTTTAAAAGTGGAGTGGTCAAATATTTTCATCCACTGTCCCGTTTCTTAAGAAACAAAAAATATAAAATACAAAAATAAATAAAAATAAAATAAAAAATAAAAATGAAAACATAAATTTTCAGATTTGTAGTCCTCATACTGCATGACGACGATAGCTCCACCTTTATCAGCCGGGCGAATCACTATTAATATGTCATTTGCTAAATCATTTAGAGATTCACATTCACATTTAGAAATGTTGGCATTGATGGTATATTTTTTGTTGAATAACTTCATAGTATCAATTTTGATATTGTGTGCAAATACTTTCAACGATGCACTGTTGGAGGAGGGATCAACAGTACTTCATAGTTTACATGTTGCATTCTTCTTATCTAGAAGTGGTTGAGATTTAAAGTACTCAGCTAATTTTAATTTACGATTGAATTTGAACTGATCTATATCCCATTCAAACCTGTCAGCCCCAGTCATTGGGACAAATGACAAACCTTTGGATAGCAAGTTAATTTCAATATCAGAGTTCTGTGTGAAAGGTTAATGATAGGACTATCTAGTTCCTTCTGGGTGGTCGACCTCTGGGTCCTGTACTTCTTCCCCTTCTGGCCTCTCCTGGTGATGTCCCGGTAGAAACATTGTTTGCTAATTTAAGAAGTAAACCTTTTTGTAGGATTCAATTAAGATACATATGTCTTTTGTGTGTTCTGTTATTAGTGTATATTAATCCCTTCGCTATTAAGTTATGCATAGGATGAGTCTGATATGCAAATGGTGTAGGTTTCCTTAGTAATGGCCTGAGTGAGCTAACACCTATTAGAGACCCGAATGGGAAGCTATTAGGTCTTCATCCATTCTCCTTTGTGGACTTTATGCCAAGATATAGGAAGTGCCATTACACCAAACATCTACTCAATACAGGGCGTTGCAGATTTTGTTTTGCAGAAAATCTTGTCTTTGGACATAATATACTAAAAAAGTACCTTCCGGGCACGAAACAGCTAAGCATCTCCCTGACAGTGCCGTTCTCTGTGCACTGGTGTGTGATTTAAGAGGAAAAAATGCACCTTGGATTTTGCTCGCCCGGTCGAACCTGAATGAGTATTTCTTTTAGGACCCGGTGTTGCAGTTCCATAATTTTTACTGGTTGGAGTACCCACCTTTCTGGAACCCAGATGGTAAGTACATATGGATATCTATTTACAGCTATGTGCTTTGATTTTGGGCTGAACCTGTTCTAGTTTAGTAGTAATTTTGTTCTGAATATCAAAATGAATGTGATTTGTCAGGGAAGGTGATAATGCCAAAGAGGAAAAAATCAGTTTCTGTGTATTTTGCTTGAAGTGTGAACCAGGTTCAATACCCTAATATAACTTTCTGTATTATTCCTACTTGAAGGGTTTCATTCTGTCCCTTTACTAATTGGAAGAGGGACTGCCAATGGCATGCCTCCATCGCTCTCCAAAAGCAGAAACCTTTGTAGGTAACCTTAATAGCTACGTTAGCAGTGGGGTAGGAGAGAGAGCTCAGAGTACAGTGATACACAAGGGATTCTTTACAGTCTAAAAAAGCACATTGTACTTCAGTAGAAGGTGATTTTTGTTTTGTTTTCTGTGACACTGCATTAGTTTGAAGACTGTCAAGAATACTGTAAGAAAATTATTTTCAGTGGTAAAGAGCCTCGTATATGATAAACCAGAACGCCATGGACTTCAATTTAGAGGGCTCTACTTAAACCTGAACCTTTATTGATTGCACCGCTGGGGGAGCCCCTAATAAATGACAATCACATCGGTTCATACAGAAGTGCACAAGATTTTAATGCAAAGCAACATTATAAAGTGTATTCATGTCTAGGGGCGTGATGTAACTTTGTACCAAACAAAAGTTAACACATATTCAAAGCACTAAATATTGGGGGCCATAAATACAGCCTATCATTCTCTAAATGGCATTATTTTGTATCTATTAGAAACTCGTGATTTCTCAGTTATTTTGCTGCGTAGAACAATGTCCTTAAAATGTTAGTAAAGTAAAAAACAAAAAAAAACAAAGAAAGGGACTATCGCCTAAACATGGTTATATCAAAAGGTAAAAAAATATATATATATTTTTTAAAAAAGGTGCTATCGTAACATGCTGATAGTACCAAGGCACTCCTCCTCTTATCCAGTTCCGGGAAACATAGAACATAGAATGTGACGGCAGATAAGAACCATTCGGCCCATCTAGTCTGCCCAATTTTCTAAAAACTTTCATTAGTCCCTAGCCTTATCTTATAGTTAGGATAGCCTTATGCCTATCCCATGCATGCTTAAACTCCTTTACTGTGTTAACCTCTACCACTTCAGCTGGAAGGCTATTCCATGCATCCACTACCCTCTCAGTAAAGTAATACTTCCTGATATTATTTTTAAACCTTTGTCCCTCTAATTTAAGACTATGTCCTCTTGTTGTGGTAGTTTTTCTTCTTTTAAATATAGTCTCCTCCTTTACTGTGTTGATTCCCTTTATATATTTAAATGTTTCTATCATATCCCCCCTGTCTCGTCTTTCCTCCAAGCTATACATGTTAAGATCCTTTAACCTTTCCTGGTAAGTTTTATCCCGCAATCCATGAACCAGTTTAGTAGCCCTTCTCTGAACCCTCTCTAAGGTATCAATATCCTTCTGAAGATACGGTCTCCAGTACTGTGTACAATACTCCAAGTGAGGTCTCACCAGTGTTCTGTACAATGGCATGAGCACTTCCCTCTTTCTACTGCTAATACCTCTCCCTATACAACCAAGCATTCTGCTAGCATTTCCTGCTGCTCTATTACATTGTCTGCCTACCTTTAAGTCATCAGAAATAATCACCCCTAAATCCCTTTCCTCATATGTTGAGGTTAGGACTCTATCAAATATTCTGTACTCTGCCCTTGGGTTTTTACGTCCAAGATGCATTATCTTGCACTTATCCACATTAAATGTCAGTTGCCACAATTCTGACCATTTTTCTAGTTTACCTAAATCATTTGTCATTTGGCTTATCCCTCCTGGAACATCAACCCTGTTACATATCTTAGTATCATCAGCAAAAAGACATACCTTACCATCAAGACCTTCTGCAATATCACTAATAAAAATATTAAAGAGAATGGGTCCAAGTACAGATCCCTGAGGTACCCCACTGGTGACAAGTCCAAGCTTCGAATATATTCCATTAACTACAACCCTCTGTTGCCTGTCACTCAGCCACTGCCTTACCCATTCAACAATATTGGAATCCAAACTTAAAGATTGCAGTTTATTGATAAGCCTTCTATGTGCAACAGTGTCAAAAGCCTTACTGAAATCTAGGTAAGCAATGTCTACTGCACCACCCTGATCTATAATTTTAGTTACCCAATCAAAAAAATCAATAAGATTAGTTTGGCATGATCTCCCTGAAGTAAACCCATGTTGTCTCTGATCTTGAAATCCATGTGTTTTTAGATGTTCATCAATCCTATCCTTTAACATGGTTTCCATCACTTTCCCCACTACTGAAGTAAGGCTTACTGGCCTATAGTTGCCCGACTCCTCCCTATTACCTTTCTTGTAAATGGGCACAACATTCGGGAAGAAAGCCACCAAGGGTGTTTCACTACATCCTGAGTTTGACTTAATTATTAATCTAGACATGAGACTATGGCACATGAAGACCTGTTTCTTTATAGATTTGGCTAACTTATTATATGTTGTACTGCTTCATTAGCCAGAATCTATTCAACACTATAATTCTTATGAGCAATTGGGGTGCAGGTAATTTTACCATAATTAGTGGTACACGTTTGCTCCTTATCCCAAAGCCTTTTGTTTTCCCGTTATGTCAAATAGAGGTAGGCAGCTATATTAACTAATAATCGCCGTTTGTTCTCTGCAGATGGTGAAACAACATTTACATGTAAGGCTGGTGTCTGGTGTATACACAAATTCACAATTAAATGATTTTTTTTATAGCATTATAAAGGCTTTGCAATGAAATGACCTTGAATACATGTCATCCCACTCCTTTGTAGAAGACATATTTTAAATGTATGTTTGTTTTTTTTATTGTCCCCACCAGGACATTTTAAAATAAATTAATGTAAATCCCTATGTCTCTTCCTCAATATTTGGATAAAAAGGTAAAATCCACTTATTATGAATGTATAGACTATTTGATTGAGGATGGTTGTCTTTCATTGCATTGAACATCTTCATGTCCTCTTCATCCAGCAACCATCCCAGCATTGAAAGTTTCACAAGACTGGGCAGCCTGGACACAAACCGAACAAAAGAGGTGACTGTGGTGGCATGGCATTTTATCTGTTGGTTGTAAACTCTGCTTATATCTAGGTGAGATAACTGTGACATGTTATCCGCAATCTGGAAAAATGTCATCCACCCAGATTCTGTAATTCGATCATTAATCTCCAACATAAGATGGCAAATTCTTCTCAAGTGTCCAGCTCGTGCCGATTCCCCTTAGAAAGTCAGATACAAACGCACATTATTTTATCGCTAGATCGTCAATAAAAACTCACTTACAGTGCAGACTATAAAACAAATACAACCTGCAGTAAATACAATACTGTATATATAATACCAAATAGTAAATAATCATCGTAGGGTTTTCATAACAAAATGTATTTTTTGTAGACTTAAAAATAGGGACACCATATGTGCTCACAATGAAAAAATGTTTCAAGAGCCAATATTCCTAAAATTGTTGCAGAATTTAAGCTTTTTGACACTACATAAACTCCAAAGTCTGAACATGAGCATTCATCTAAAATTCTTTCTTTTTTTATTTTTTAGCAAATTTCCTCAAGAAAGACTTCCCTGCCTTTTTAAGGGGCTCCTACGAATGTATTGAGAGACACAGTTTTCCAACTATAAAAATCTTTTCAGGGAAATCAAACATGTCTCCTGTGGGCCCTGCAATCGAATACATAGAGGCCAGCTTTCCTTTGAGTCACTTGTTTGCATGGAACACAAATTCATAAATAACTGCTGTTATAAACCCTATGAGAGCATAAGTCATTGACTCCAGACAGGGCCGCCATCAGGGCATGACAACCATAACGGTTGTCATGGGCCCGGACTACTCTGGCAGTCCGAGCCTCACATTCCATATGTGCTCTGCGGGCTCCCTTCTACCTGTATATTGCAGATGGGGGCCCAGCAGCACACTCTGTCTTCCTTTCTAGATTCTCTCTGTCTAACTCTCCAGCGCCCTGCGGCCGCCAGAGCATTGCTATGGGTTACCATGGCAATACTCCGCACAGCACGCAGGCCGGTCTCGCGAGAGTTAGTCGGAGAGGAGCTGGAAAGGAAGACAGTGTGTGCTGCCTGTGCCCCGTCTCTGCAATGTACCATGGCTGGCTCCCTCCACAATGCGATCTTCCCCCTCCCTGGCACGGTAAGAAGCAGGGAGGGGGGAATAAAATTTAAATATACACAGATAGATTTAAAAGAAAAATACTCCCCTCCCCCCTATTTTACACACACACTGCATCCTTACAAGCACACACTCTGCACTACACACACTACATTCACTAAACACACACACTATATTCACTAAACACACTCTGCACTCACTACAAACACACTACATTTGCTAAACACACTCTGCAATGCACACACACACACTACATTCACTAAACACACTTTGCACTACACCCACACACACACACACACTACATTCACTAAACACACTCTGCGCTCACTACAAACACACTACATTTGCTAAACACACTCTGCACTGCACACACACTACATTCACTAAAAACACTTTGCACTACACACACACACACTGCATTCACTAAACACACTTTGCACTACACACACACACACACACACACACATACACACTACATTCACTAAACACACTCTGCACTCACTACAAACACACTACATTTGCTAAACACACTCTGCACTGCACACACACTACATTCACTAAACACACTTTGCACTACACACACACACACACTACATTCACTAAACACACTTTGCACTACACACACACACACACACACACACACATACACACTACATTCACTAAACACACTCTGCACTCACTACAAACACACTACATTTGCTAAACACACTCTGCACTGCACACACACACACACACACCACATTCACTAAACACACTTTGCACTACACACACACTACATTCACTAAACACACTTTGCACTACACACACACACACACTACATTCACTATACATACATTGCACTCACTACAAAAACACACTATATTTACTAAACACACTTTGCACTCACTACAAACACACTGCATTCACTATACACACACTCTGCACTCACCACAATCGAACTACATGCATAATACACACTTTGTACTCACTTCAAACATACTATATTCACTACACACACTACATGCACTGTACACACTACATTCACCACAATCACACTACATGCACTATACACACTTTGAACTCACTTCAAACACACTACATCCACTACAGAAAACACACTCTGCATTAACTGTACACACACTACATCCACTACAAAAACACACATTCTCTATTCACTGTACACACACTACATCCACTACACAAACACACACTCTGCATTCACTATACACACCTGCATTCACTATAAACACACTCTGCATCTAATGCATGCATACAAACATTACATACATTGCACAAAAACTACACACTGCATCCATGACACACATATCACATCCACTACACATATTCTACATCCACTATACACACTGCATCCATGACACACATATCACATCCACTACACACATTCTACATCCACTATACACATTGCATCCATGACACATATTCTACAGCTCTATAACCAGAAAGTGGGACATTTTTGAGAAAATTCCAAATAAATGTTGGCATGATTACTTGCTTAGCATCTCAGCAGCATCTCCAGCCATCCGTGGAGTGGGTTGGAGGTACTGCAGACCCAATCATAGCAGACATGTCACATTTCTTTCTAATACACATTTATCATTAGTCCTTACTACAATCATAGATTATAGATTATTATTTTTTATTGCATCAAAGTATGGGATGCGCAACTCCACCTCCCTCTATGGACCAACCTGCACTGATGGCTACTTACCTAAATGTTCAATACTTTCATCATTTAATATCTCTGTCATAGAGAGAAACTGGAGGTTATGCAGATTCTGCAGTTGTTGTATAAACAAGATAGCAGCATTCACCATTCCTTCACCCTTTGGTAACCGCAGGTTCTCCAGGTGAACAAGTGACCCCAAGGCAACAGCTGAAATAAAACCATTGTTCAGGTTAGCTA